CAGCCCTGGATTCAGGAGGACCTGAGTTCAAATCCAACCTCAGACACATAACACTAGCTGTGTGACCCTGGGCAAGTCACTCAACCCCATTGCCTAGCCAAAAAAAAGAAAATTAATCTGGTGAATAAGTCATCAAAGTATTGTGACATCCACCAAGTCTGAGAGCCCCTGACTCCTAATCATTGGGACCTTTTATGCCCCCAGGTTGGGAAGCTGCATCAGGGAATGCTGGTCAGTCAGGTTGTGCTTTGAGGAAGGCTAGTCCTATCAAAGCCTTTTTTCACTAGAGAGAAAAGGACATGTAGCAGATTGACTCATCAGCAGAGAAGAGAGGCATCTCACTCACTGGGATAGCAGATATGCCAGGAGCTATGCAGTCAAGTAAAACATGAAGAATTTCTGAAGAGGGGGCTGGTGAGCAAATATTTGGGGGAAGGAAATAGGAAAATGTGGCAGTTATGTCAGTCAATCAAACAAATGCCTCCACGATATGATTATGCTAGAATCCAGATGTAAAATCACCCATTTTTCCTGCCCAAGTGAAATCTACTAAAAACCAAAGTTTTCATCCTGAATTAGAAGTGACCCAAATTTGTTAATGGAAGAAGAGAGGAGAGAATGATGGCAAATCACCAAGGGACACAGGACTTCTGCTTTCAAATTTTTATTAGCTAAATAATAAGATATTAACTAAGAAGTTTCATTAATCCTAGTGCATACACATACCTATTCTGATTTACATATACACATACACACTCATATGTCTCTACATATACATACGCACACAGTATCACATGGAAATGTTCAGAGTTACAATCAGTGAGATCAAGTCTTGAGGTTGTCAGAGAAGTAGGGATGTTGAAGACTATTTAGCAATGTCTGTTTGCATCATAATGTGACATCTTTCAGAGTCCTATTTTTCACTTGCTCTTTTTATGCCAAAAATTTCCAATAGCTGTTGTTCAAGTCTTCTATATTTGGTGGAATGTTTCTCTTATCAGTGCCCTGCAAGGGCTGCACCCCTAACCCTCCGGTCTTCGAAGTTCCTAGAGCCTGCTTCTTCATTGTGATGTCCTGGTCTCAGGCCAGGTTGGGGTGAAGGACAGACAGGCTTGGAGGTGGGACAGAGGAGCAACTGATGTGCTTGCTGCCTGAGATAGTCCTTTGTTTTCTTTAGGGTCAGTTTTGATTAACCCTTGATTTCCTGGAAACTCAGGCAGAATAATTTTACAAGATAACTTTTATACATACATAAACAATAATAATTTCACAGTCACAGTATTTCTGCTCATTTCAATAGAATCAATTCAGATTTTAACTTACTTTTACATTTGCTTTCTACATTAAAATAATAGGCTATGATCTTTTTATAAAATAGTTATTTTGAGTCATTCTTGATTCACAATTTCTACATTCATTTTCATGTATTATTATAATTTTTAATACATATGTTTTTAAACATTAGCCCACCAGATTGCTTATGGTCCACCATAACAATATACTTTAAATTATTTGGCGTTTTAAATATGTGTGTGTGTGTGTGTGTATTTATTTAAATTACTCACTTTTGGGGAAGGAAGGGTATGTAAGCAGTTTGGGCTTTTAGACCTTTAATTCAAGAATTATGAAAGTCAAAGAAAAATGACTGAACTCTCAAATTAGGAGCCATTTTTTTTTACTATGCTTAGCTGAAGAGAAGTGATTGTTATTTTTTTGTTTGGTTTCCCATACTGATAAAGCTGGTACCAGACAGTCTTACCTACATACTGACCATTTTCCCCATTTGCTGGAACAGATACCTCACCTTTCCTCACCCATTGGAGCTATCTCTGGAAAAGGCAATGAATACTAGGCACTCCTCTGCAGGTTGAATTAGAATTCTTGTCTTTTGGGGTCCATAATAAAGAACTAATTATTTATTTAAACATTTACTGGGTATATTTTCTCATTGACAGAAAGTTTTGAGCCCTAATTTTTCCTCTTCTAAATTGTAATTTCATCAGCATTTGGACTTTAATTCTTTGTATATCTGTATGTCTTTTCTCCATGTCAGAATTTGAGCTGCTGATAATTTCTTGGCTTGTCTTATTGATAATTTCATCCTTCAAAAACTGGAGGAACTAACAAGAGGAAATTCTATTTTGGATCGGATTCTCTTCAACAAGGAGGAACTGGTGACTGATGCAGAAATGATAGGAAACTGGTTGGGGAGTGACTATTCCATCCTAGAGTTAATGAATGAAGGAGGAGAAGGAGGAGGAGAAGAAAAATAAGGAGAAGGAGAAGAAGGAGAAGGAGAAGGAGAAGAAGAAGAGAAGAAGGAGGAGGAGGGAGAAGGAGAACTCTGACAGATTTGGGGAGAGTATAATCTCAAGATGATCAGAGAAAAGATAGATAATATTCTATAGGAAAAGTCAACCCAGAGGAGATAGGAAGCTCTCAAGAAAATAAATTGGAAGGCACAAAGAGAAACAATTCCAAAGACCTGGTCTATGCTTTGATCAAGCCTCTGTCAATGATCTTTGAAAGGTTGTAAAGAACAAAAGAGGTTCCAGAAGACTTGAGAAGGGCAAATGTTGTTCATGTTTTTTAAGAGACTCTATTCTAATCAACTGTAGACCAATGTGCTTTACTTCCGTTCTTGGCAAAATTCTAAAATGTATCATGAAATGGATTGTTAGTAAAAGTTTGGAAAAGGAAGTATTGATCACAAAGAGCCAGGACAAAGTCATCAAGAATAGATCAAATTGGAAACTAGCCTTATTTCCTTTATTTACATGGTTACTCAGTTAGTAGATGAGGGATGCTGCAAATATAGTTTACTTAAATTTTGGCAAAGCTTTTGACAGAGTTTCTCATGCTTTGTTAAAAAGAGAGATGTGGACTAAACAATAGCATGATGATGTGGATTCAGAACTATTTCACTGGGTAGATCAAGAATAATCATTAATGACTTGATTTTTCCACTTGCAAGAATGTATCCAGTGGAATGTCCAAGGATCTGTACTTTGACTTGTGGCATTAGCATTTCTTGTATCAATGACTTAGAAAAAGCCTTAGATGGCACGCTTACCAAAGAGAAAGCATAAAGCTGGGAGCAATGGCTAGCAATGGATGAATCAGAATTGCGAAAGATATCAACAGGCTTGAACATTCAGTTGATTCTAATGGGATGAAATTTCACAAGATTACATGTGAAACTGTTACACTTTGGTTCAAGAAATAACTTGACAAATACAAGGTTGGGGAGGCATGACTAGATAACAGTTCATCTAAACAAAGATCTTAGGGTTTAGTAATGTGCAAACTCAGAAGGGTTCAGCAGTATCATATGGAAGTCAGGAAAACTCTTGTGATCTTGGGTGACTTGAAGACTATCAAGGTATCCAGGAATAATGAGGTGAAAAATCCTACTGTATTCTGCCCATGGTTAGGGCCCATCTGCTGTTGTGTTCAATTCTGGGCTGTGCATATTACAAAGAACAATGTTAAGCTAGAGTGCTTTCAGAAAAAAAAAAATTGATCAGGATGTTGATTGGCCTGAAGTTCATAACATAAAGGATCACCTGAAGGAGCTAGATTATATGGCCTGAAGAAGCAAAGCCATAGAAAGAATATCCTGTCATTAAATATTTGAAGGTTTAGCACATGGAAGAGGGATTGGATTTCTTCTGCTTGGCCTGGGAAGGGAGAAAAGCAATGGAAGTGGTAAAGATGTAGGTTACACTTGAGGTATGTTAAAACTTCTCAACATTTGTTGTTGTTGTTGAGTTGTTTCAGTCATGTCTGACTCTCTGTGACCCCATTTGGGTTTTCTTGGCAAAGATACTGGAGTGGTTTGCCATTTCCTTCACTGGCTCATTTTATAGAGGAGGAAACTGAGACAAAGAGGGTGAAGTGACCTGCCCAGGATCACACAGATAATAAGTGTCTGAAGCCAGATTTGAACTCAGGAAGATGAGTCTCCCTAACTCCAGGCCTGGCACTCTATTTACTGCACCACCGAAAGAGGAATGAGCAGCCTCAGGAGTGCTAGACTGAGATAAAGCTCACTAGAGGTTTTCATGCTAAGGATACAAACCAGTTGTGAGGTATGGGGTAGAGGGGATTTTTGTGGAATAATGGTTGGACTAGTTAGCCCTTGAGGTCCTTTCCAACTTCAAGATTATGTCATTCTTTGATTCTGTCATTTTCAGTGATGAACTTTTATATTATGGAGCATAGAGCTGCTTTTAGAGATTTAGGCAGTTATAATCTTTATTATAGTAAGATGTTACCAAAGGCCTTGTAGAATAGCTCAAGTTTTGTTTGGAAGGGCAGAAAATGTTGGGGAGGAAAGGAAGAGAAAGAAGATCAAAAGAAAAGGGAAGAGTCGTTAAGAAAAGAGAAGAGCAATGAGTGAAAAACCCTAAGAAAATGAGGAAAGAAATGTATGTATTAATAAAATGTATGTCCAAAAGACAACTGGTCCTTAAGATCATAACTTTAGAACTGGAAAGGACCTCAGACATCATCTAGCTAACTCCTGATTTTTATAGATTATTAGAAAAGCGTCTATTTAGAGCTGAAAAGTACCTCAGATGTCATTTAATCCAAATCTCTCATTTGACAGAGAAATCCTAAGAGATTGAGAGCTAGAAGTGATTTTTAAGGCTTTGAGTTCAACCTCCTAATTTGACCAATGTGAAAAATGAGGCACCAAGAGGTTAAATGATGCATACAGAGTCACATAACTGGTAAGGATCTGAGGATTTCTGACTCCAAGTTCACTATTCACTATACAGTGGTTCTGAGGGGCCATGGAATACCAGTGAGAGGACTAGACCTTGCATGTGGAAACAGAAATGGAAAACACATACTTACCACCATCTTTGATAATTAAAGAACTCATTTTCATATAAAAATTTTAATAAAATGAATACATGGAATATGTTAACAGGTAGTAAAACATACATTAATATATCAAGATGCAGATTATATATATTGATACTTACAGAAACTAAATATTTGGAGAGTTCAATCACTTTAGACTGCTATGTCCAGAAATAGGACCAGAAACCTTTTAGGGAAATTCTTTTGGGCCAGTTCACAAAGGAATCAGGTGTCTGTAATCAACTTCCTTATGGGATGTCTGGACTGAGGATGTATTCTAGAAAGCTTTGAACAACATGTTTGGCAAAAGAAGAAGATTCCACTTATAAAAGAAGAGGCTGCACTTGAAATTCCCATTGGGAAAGAAAGACCAATTTCTCTCTTAGTTATTTTGTTCATTTTAACTGGAAATTGTCTTGGAAACTCCAATGTGCTATGGCCTCTCAAATCCATGTAGGTATTCCAGGTCACTGAGACTCCAACACTGATACTACTGAGGATGAAGCAACATCCAGCAATTAGATGACATGTATCAATGAAATGTGGGTATGGTTCATTCTTGAAGATAATCAGGAATGCCCCTAAACTGAAAATCATACCAGTCACTTGCAGGAAGATGGGCAATGTGATCAGGTCCTTGCCATAATGAAATTCTATGGGGTAGACCCAACTTGAATTGATTTGCATACAAACTACTGTTTTATGTTGCATGTTAGAAGAATGTTGAAGATAGCAAAACCTCCAAAGTCCAATCCACATAATGGAAATCTTCTGGCTGTGAAAATACCACACCCTCCAATACACAGAATTTGCTACATCAATACATAAGAACCAACTCACCAAAGCAAATATTGTGGCAGTCATCAGTGAAAAAAATTGTCTGATCTTAAATGTCATGGTAGGCTGAAGGCTGATGAGTTATGAAGACTATTCAGGAACACTGAAGAAAAGAAAATAAGAACAGAGCAATTAAAAAAAAAACTTTCCCTACTGATGCCTTGTCTAACATGTGGACAAAGATATATTTAAGTATTCCACATAGAGCAGTAAAAGTATAAAAAACTTTGGTTTAAGTGAATACTTGTTTTCATTGACTCTGAATTTTCTTGGGATTTTGCCTTTCAAGATTAAAAGGGGCAAGTAGATTAGGCTAGTGGTGTCAAACTTAAAAAGAAACCACATATTGACTAAGAAGACTGCAAATGAACATTATCTGTGTTGTATTGTATTTTTATTTATTTTTGTTAAACATTTCCCAATTACATTTTCATCTGATTCCTCCTCACTCTGGAGTTTGGAGGCTGCTTAGAGGAGAAGAATTTGATATTTATGGGCTAGGTGATCTCTAAAATCCTTTTCATGTCCAATATTATACGATTCCGGAACTTGTTTAGGAAAAGGACAATTCTACTGATACCTGAACCAGGAACTGTGTGTGTCTCTGTGTGTGTGTGTGTGTGTGTGTGTGTGTGTGTGTGTGCGTGTGTGTGTTTTCTAGCAGACTTGTGATTTCATTACTTTACAGAAGAAACTCCTTTCAATGTACATCTGCAATTATTCTGCAGCTTATAGTTTCAAGAGTTATCTGAGACATTGAGGAATTTAATGACTTTGCCAGAGCTAAATAGTATGTGCCAGATAACTCTAGAAGTGGACTCTGTCCACTCTTCCACACTGCCTTTCTTTACTCACGCCAACTTCAGTGTTTTAAATGAAGCAACATAATGAAAGACTATAGGTAAATTCTTGATTATCCACACTGAGACAGGGGTGGAAGTGGCATTTTTTTCCCCAAACTGAAAAATGGAAACATCCTTAGAGAGGCAGCTTGTTATAGCAGATAAATAGCAGGCCTCATGTACAGAAATACTTATAGTAGCTGTCCTTGTGGTGGCAAAGAAATGGAGATTGAGGGGGATGCCTATCAATTGGGGAATGGCTGAATAATTTGTGGTATATGAATGTGGTGGAATACTATTGTGCTGTACGAAATGATGAGCAGGCAGATTTCAGAAAAACCTAGAAAGACTTGTATGGACTAATGCTAAGTGAAGTGAGAAGAACCAAGAGAACATTGTACACAGTAACAGCTACATTGTGTAATGACTATCTTTGATAGACTTAGTTTTTCTTAGCAATGCAATGATCTAAGAAAATTCCAAAAGACTAAAGATGGAAAATGTCCATATCCAGAGAAAGAACTGTGGAGTCTGAATGCAGATCAAAGTATACTATTTTCTCTCTTTTCTTTCTTGTGGTTTTTTCCCTTGCTTCTGATTCTTCTTTATAACATGACTAATGTGGAAATATGTTTAATATGATTGTACATGTATAGCCTATATCAGATTACATGCTGTCTTGGGGAGTGGGGGGGGGGTAGAACTCAAAATCTTAACAGTGAATGTTGAAAACTAAAAATAAATGAAATAAATGAAATAAATAAATAAATAAATAAATAGCAAGCCTCAAAATCTCTACAATCTGGGTTCAAGTACTGCCACTGACACACACTAACTTTGTGACCCTGGTCAAGTCACTTATCCTCTCTTTGGTCCAAGCAGTTTTCTAAGATGGACAGTTATAAATCAGTTGCTGGGAGTTCAATGAAATTGACATTTTGGACCCTCTAAAAATATTCCAACCTTAGACCTTTTTGAATTGGAAAGGGCCGTACAAATAATATCATTGGTCCAGGAAACACCTTTACTGAACCTCACAGGTTTGGTACTTCTCTCTTTTGTTACCTTCAGATTTCTCTAGGTTCCTGAGGCAATTTTAAAATATCCATTCCCCCTCCTCTTTCCTGTTCTACCATGCCCACACTCCCATATACAGACATGTGTACACACACACACACACACACACACACACACACATACACACACACACATATATACACTCCCTAGGTTCAGGTATCAGCAGATTCATCCTTTTTCTAAGCAAGACAGGTCAATATATTTAAAAAACCAAACCAAACCACTTTATTAGCGAATTAAGAACTAATAAAGTTAAGTAAAACAAAAGAATGTCTAGAAGCCTAATAAGCAGAACTCAGATCTATTTGGCACTATGTGCATGCCTTCCTTACTCCACTTTTACAAGGCAGGCCATGTAAGTATTACCTGATTTTCCATGGGAAAAAACTGAGGCTCTGAGGGGTTAGAAGTAGTTCTTGGACCCAGCTTTCCTATTGCTATTAGTGCTCTTCTCACTCCACTATATAGCTAGAGACTGTCAAGAGTAGAAAGAGAGACCTTAACTCCATCCCTTTCTGGGGAGCCTACTCCTAAATTCTTCATTATCAGCTCTGGGAAATTTATTCCTGCCATTTATTTTCTTCTTTCTCTTCAGTGTCTGAAGAAGGAGCACTGGGTCACTACTGGCTCTGTGCAAATCCACTGGACTATCATTTGGGGAGAAAAACTTAAGGTTAAGAAAGCCCATCCTCACCCCTCCCTGGGGGCACATGAATAATTGGACCCCTATGGCAAATAGGGAGACACTATCTTTTTTCTTTGGGTGATTGATTGTCTCAGAACAACAGAGAAACCAGAGGAGAAAAATTCCATTTCCTTACATCAAAATTTTTATCTTATAAATAAGGAAACTGAAGCCTAGAAATGGTAAGTGACTTGTCCATTGGTCACCTAGGGAGCCAGCCAAAGAATTTGACATAGAACTCAAGTTCCCTCACCCTGAATCCAATGTTCTTTCAGGTAGATGGATTAGAAGAAGTTCTACGAAGCAGGGGACAGGGCTGCCTCTTTTGGTATGGCAGAGGAGCCTGTACCTCACAAGGTGGGATGTATCAGTGGTGCCAGAGGCTCATCTATTTGCATCCAAAATTCTGCCTGCCACGAGGCCTAAAATTCCCACCAGCTAAATCATTCTGTAGATTATTGTAGATGTTTAATGAAAGTAAGACAACCTAATGTTGTGGATAGAGGATTGTCTTTGCGGGCAGGAAGACCTCCATTCAATTCTTGCCTTTAACATTTACTACCTCTGTAGCCCTGGACAAGTCACTAACTTATTGGTGTCGGAGGCAACTCTTTAAGAGAGGGGTTCTTAACCTTTTGATGTGTTACAGACCCTTTTGGAAATCTGATGAAGTCTATGGACCTCTTCTTTAAAAAAAATGATTTTAATTCATAATATAAAATATATAGGATTATGAAAGAAAACTGTTGTACTCAAATACAATGATCAAATTATTTTTTAAAAAAGTTCATAGATCCCAGATTAAGAACTCTTGCTGTAAAGACTATATTTAGTAAAGAAATTGCAGGTCTCTATTGGTACAAGGGTATTTCCTGTCAGAATGAATCCTGAGCCAATGAATCAATATTCTGGTTCTGATACCTCCTACCCATTTTTCTTTCTCCTCTCCAAAATCATTCTGCTACCTGGGAAAGATAAGATTAGCAGGATCAGTGAAACCTGCTTTGACGAACCCATTAACACTTGTACAATCATACATTTAGCAATGGAAGGGACCATAAAGGTTATTGAGTCTAACTCCCACATTTGACAGCTGAGAAAAATAAAGCCTAATAGGATGAGGTGATGGAAGATCACAGAAGTTATAAGTGGTTGAGGAAGGATTGGAACCTAGTCTTCTGGTGCCCAATCCAGAATGCTTTACACTGCCCCATGGTGCATTTCACTTAAGGGAATAGGATCAAAGACAGGTACATTCTGTTTTAGAGTTGGGGGCCCTGACTGGAGATGAGCTATGGATGGCCCTGGCCAGATTGAATTCTGACACGATGCCAGAATGTTGGGAGGGTACAAAGGAGTACCAAAGAAGACTTTCAGCCATTTGTTGAAACTTGCTTTAAGATTTGACTTAGGGCTAGCCTAAAGAGCAAAGGAAAGAGAATCATTTTGGGCAACTGGGAATATGGCAGATAAAAACATGTCAAAAATACCCAGTTTGGTTAAATTGTGTTGTGTGTACAATGCTATGCTCTGGAGGGTGTTCTCAAACAATAGTAAATAAAACATTTGTGTTATATCATGGTTATCTACAAATAGATGAATAAAATTCAATGTGAATCAAACCATCTGTCATCTGACTCTGAACCTGACTCTGCCTTCCTCCAGATCCTGGGTCTGTCCTATAGTACAGATGTCATCTAGGGCAAGACACTCGACATCATGAGCTTCAGTTTCCTTATCTGTAAAAGGAAAATGACTCCTAAAGTATCTTCTAGCTCTGAAGGTGTTGTGATACTGAAGTGAACCAACTGAGGCTAACTCAAATGGAATCATAGAATCACTTGCCTTCAAAACCCAGCATTATACATTACTCTCAATTTCACTTTCATTAAGATTTTTTAAATGGAGACCTTCGAAAGATCAATAGCATCTTTCTAGTTCCTTTTGGTCTCCTTAAACCTTTGTTTCACCTTCTTTGTTGTTGTCGTTATTGTTGCTTGTGTGTTGCTCAAGAAAGCTGGTCTTGACTAGAACCTCTCAGCTTGCCATCTTTGTCACAAGTACCCACTTTTTTTTCCAGTCTTGATTAAACCCAAGTTTATAATTTGTCTCTTCCCACCCCATACTATTTTACAATGGTTACAGAACATCTAGGAATGTTGTGCCATAATGGCAAAAGGAGATGTGACCACTTAGAAATGTTTGAATTTTAATTCATGTTGACAGTGATGCCGTGCTCAAACGAACTTGATCTAAACATGGCAAGATAGGCTAATAGAGAGCAGTACAAGATCACAGGCTTAGATGAAGTTTAATGCAGTTTCGTTAAAAGCCCTGGTTTCAGAGGCTCTGATGAAACTGAGGGAAGCTGTGAGGGTACCAACTCTTGTAAAAACTACCAGTCTTAGGAGCAAGTCAGGGTTGAGTGTGGTTGAAATTCTGCCCAAGAGGGCTTTGAGAAAAGCCTTCTTAGGGTTTTCAGGCAGAGGTATATTGAGGGAATTAGGATAAAAGTAGAACCTGAACAAAAAACTCCTCCAAGGAGAGCAAGAAGCAGACGGATAAGTAAAATAACAAGGTAGAAAGCTCTGTCAAGCAAGTAGTTTTTATCTCAACTTTGATTTCTGTATGTTTTTGTCTGTGTTTTGTCTTTGTCTTTAGGATATGGCCTGTAGGTTGGGGGAAGAAGGGTAACTGAAAAAGCAGGGTGGGACTCCCCCAGGCTATCATGTTTAAAAAGGGGTAATTTTAAAGAGTTTCTGTCTTTTAGTGTGAGTTTACAATTTTGGAGGTAGAATCAGAGAAGGGATTTCTTTCTCAGTAACAAGGCCCACTGCTCTAAGTAAGTGAGGCTAATTAAGTTAAGTACTTACTTAAAGCCACTTGGCTACCAGGATTTCTTGGTTACTGCAAAGTTGAATGGCTGTGCTTTGCTTGTGTCTCTGTGGCTTTTGTGTGCATGTATATCTGGCTGGAGTGGAGGTGTGTTGACATAGGAAGTGTGTGGAGACCAACTCCAAGCCAGCTGGGGAGATGATTAGAATATATATGGTGGTCAAAGGATGTGTATGTATATCTATGTATATTTATAAATAGATTTTAGGTATGTATTATATATATATATATATATATACACACACACACACACACACACATATGTCTATTTATATGTGGGTAACATACACATCTCTATGTTTATAATAGTTGTTACTTGCAAATTAATCTTGGATATCAAATCCTTATCTAAGAAATTTGATACAAAATTTTTTTCATATTCAGTTACTCCCACTCAAAACCTAAATGCTTTGAGTTTGTTTGTGCAAAAAGCTTTTCAATTTCATGTAACCGAATTTGCCTACTTCTTTTGTAATTGTCTCTCTCTCTTATTTCCTTAAGATTATATTTGCTAGATCAACTTATGCAATAGCAATAAAAATGTGAAGACAAACAACTTTGAAAGACTGAAGAACTCTCACCAATGCAATGACCAAGTATGATTCCAGAGAACTAATGATGAAACACGTTACATACCTCCTGAGAGGTGCAGACTGAAACATTGTTTTTAGACTTAGCTGATGGGGGGAATTTGTTTTTCTTTTACCATGAATGTTACAAGGTTTTGTTTTTTTTTTCTTTTTCAATGGGGAGGGAGGTACTGAAAAGTAGAGAAGATGGACTTTTTTAATTGAAAAAAATAAAATGTTATTAATGAACACATCCTGCTCATAGCTGTGAAAGAGAAACGATCCGATTTTCTTTTAATTTTTTGTGATGTTTTTAATATTCATGTCCCATACCCATTTTGAATTTATTGTGAAATATTATGCAAAATATTGATCTATGCCTGATTTCTGCCAGACTGCTTTCCAGTTTTTCCAGAAGTTTTTTTTTTATCAAACAGGAAGTTATTTTCTAAGTAAATTGTGCTTTAGGGTTTAGCAATTACTGAGTTATTGAATTCTGTTGTTTCTGATTCTCCCTCATCTGCTCTATTGAGGATGTTTTTGTTTTTAATGTGGTTATGTTGACAGTTTCCCTAATGTTGAACCATATTTGCTGTTAACATGATCATAATGAGTGGTTTCTTGGATGAGTTGCTATAATCTGTTTGACAGATTTTATTTTGTTTTTTTAAATCAATATTCATTAATGATATTGATCTTGGATTCTCTTTCTTTACTTTGTCCTTCCCTGGTTTAGTATTATGACTATATTTGGGGTTTTTTTCTCAGTTTTTGAGAAAAATTGTGTAGTACTGGTATTAACTTTTTTTTTTCAGTTTGATAGAGAACTCTCCTGCATCAGGATGCAGAGTTCTCCTCGCCACCCTTCCCCCATACTGGCAGTTATTTTACAATTTTACAATTACAATATTTTACAATCCATTTCTGCAATTAGATTATTGAATATTTCTATTTCACCTTCTTTTAGTTTGGGCACTTAATATTTTTTGAAAGTATTTGAATATTTGAAAGTATTCCTTTGAAAGTATATCTTGATTTATTTTGGATTCTCCATTTTCTTAGCATATAAGGTTCTGATCTTTTTATTTCTTCTGGTTTTGCTGTGACTTCATCTTGTTTATCTGCTGTTTTGTTGATTTGATTTTCTGCCCTCTTCTTAACTAAGTTGGCTAAAGTTTTATCGATTGTGTTACTACGTTCAAAGACTCTGTTTTTAGTTTTGTTTCTCCTTTCTAAAACATTTTTTAGTTTCTAATTTATCCATTTCTCCTTGAATTTTTAGTATCCTCTCTTTTCTGCTTATTTTGGGTTCGTTTGTGGGCCATCTGAATGATCAGTTATGTAGGCTTATTTTATATCATTCAACTTTGCAGAAATTATAATTTTTTTTCAATTTTTATTGACTTTCTGGGGTTCTTTAAATAAATCATCATATCATCTGAAGCAGCCCCCTTTCCACTGAACTCTGCCTTCCTCTGAGGTTTCAGGACTGTTCCTCCTAACTTTTGGTCCTACTCTAGTCTCTTAGCCCTCATCTCACAGCTTAGGTGAGCATTAACATCTCTTTGTATCACCTCCTTCTCTGCCTGGGATCTGTGCTTTTCCCTCCCATTGCTTCTGCTGCTGCCTTCTGATTGGTCCACAGCCCCTAAATAACTTGAGTCTCCTCCACCTGTAGTCTTTCTTGGCAATATGGCTGCTTTATTAGGCAGGTTAACAATATAGTGATTGGATGATAGCTTTCTTCAAGACACAGTATTCTTGCATCAAGTCTACCTAAAAATCTCAAGGTCATGAATCCTAAATGATTGGCCTCAGAGGCTTTGTATTTTTGATTGGCAAATGGTTTTAATGTTCCACAAATTTCCAAGAACTGCCCCAGGACACCCAGAGAGGAAACGTATCTTTTCCTTTATCAAAGGTCACAGTCCTGCATAACTTTAGCTAGAATTCATTTCCTCCTCTTTCCCAGAAATCAGCTGATCTTGGAAACCATTGGTTTCCATTAGCAACTGTTGAAATTACTGGGGGTCAAGATGATGGGGTAAGGAAAGAACTCCCTGAAGTCTTCCCAAATTTCCCTCCAAACAACTTGAAAACTGCCTCAGAACTAATCTAGGAGCAGGGAAGTAGCTTACCAACACATCCGGAAAGGTCTGTCTCACTGGGGTGGAAGGAAAGGAAGGTCAGAAAGCAGCAGAGGGCCTGTAGCAAGTATCCAAGCCTGAGGTAATCTACCTAGAGAGACCCCCACCCTCCTTTAAGCCAGCAGCCCCTGAGGCAATCCAGTAGTCTGAGCAGTAGAACAAGGCTCTACCCCATTGGCCCCAATGCCAAAGCAGGTCATCAGCTAGGTCTCACCCCCTTTACTGACCTGTAGTGAGGTCCAGCTCCTTGGGGCCTCCAGCAGAGAGTCCCTGTCTCCATAGCAACCCAGCAGCAGGGCCCAGCCCCTGGAACAAGACCCCTACGCCAGGGACAGCCAACATATAGACACTGTGTCCATAGCAACCGATAAAGAAGGCCACACCCCAGGGACAGGCCAGGAGAGAAAATCCACACTCTAAGGAGGCCAAAAGGGAGCCTCTCCCCCCAGTACCAGGCAGAAGGGAGCCTACCCTTTAGTGCAAGCAAGCAGCTAGTTTCTGGAGCCCAGTAATAGCCAGCAACAAGACCCTGAGCCCCATCACAAAAAGCTTGGGACAGTGCAGGACCATAGCCCAAGTCTCACATAAAAACACCAAGTCACAAAATAGGCAGAAAAAAAAATTAGCAAAAAACTAAAAAAGAACGACTGTAGAAAGTTAACATGGTGACAGGGAGGATCAAGGCACAAACTTAGAAGAGGACAATAGCATCAAAATGGCTACATGTGAAGCCTCAAAGAAAAATGTAATTTGGTCTCAGGCCCAAAAAGAACTCCTAGAAGAGCTTCAAAAGCACTTTAGAAAGCAAATTAGAGAAGTAGAAGAAAAATTGGGAAAAGAAATGAGAGCAATGGAAGAGAATTATGAAAAAAGTATCATCAGCTCAGTTTGGGAAAAGATATACAAAGATTCACCGAAAAAAAAATAACTATCTAAAAAATAGGATTGGCCAAATGGAAAAGAAAGTACAAAAAAGCACACTGAAGAAAATAATTCCTTGAATGAAATTATTGATTGTTTCTATGATTTGTTGTTTGACCCAATCATTTTTTAGTATTAGATTATTTAGTTTCCAATTATTTTTTAGTCTCTCTTTCCATGGCCCTTTATTGCATATAATTTTTATTGTATCATGATCTGAAAAGGATGCATTTTGTATTTCTGTCTTTCTGCATTGGATTGTGAGGTTTTTATGCCCTAGTACACGGTCAATTTTTGTGTATGTGCCATGTACTGCCAAGAAAAAAGTATATTCCTTTCTGTCCCCATTCAGTTTTCTCCAGAGGTCTATCATGCCTAACTTTTCTAATGTTCTATTCACCTCCTTAACTTCTTTCTTGTTTATTTTGTGATTAGATTTATCTACTGCAGAGAGGGGGAGGTTCAGGTCCCCACTAGTATAGTTTTGCTGTCTATTTCTTCCTGTAACTCCCTGAACTTCTCCTCTAAGAATGTGGATGCTATACCATTTGGTGCATATAAGTTTAGTAATGATATTACTTCATTGTCTATGGTGCCTTTTAGCAGATTGTAGTTTGCTTCCTTATCTCTTTTGATTAGATCTATTTTTGCTTTTGCTTTGTCTGAGATCAGGATTGCTACCCCTGCTTTTTTTACTTCAGCTGACGCATAATATATTCTGCTCCAGCCTTTTACCTTTACCCTGTATGTGTCACTCTTTTTCAAATGTGTTTCCTGTAAACAACATATTGTAGGATTATGCTTTTTAATCCATTCTGCAATCCATTTCCGTTTTATGGGAGAGTTCATCCCATTCACATTCACAGTTATGATTACTATCTGTGTCTTTTTCTCCATCCTTTTCCCCCTATTTATGCTTTTCTTTCTCCTTTTTCCTTTCCCCCTTCACTAGTGTTTTGCTTTTGACCACCGCCTCCTTCAGTCCCTTCCCCCTTTTATTATCCCTTTCCCTTTTCTTCCCCTTTAGTCTTACTGCTGCTTCCCTCCCTTCTTTCCCCCTCTTTTTTCCCCCTCCCTTTTCTTTCCCCTTTTCCCTCCTACTGCCTATAGGGCAAGTTAGATTTCTATACCTAACTGATTATATTATGCCCTTCTTGAGCCAAATCTGATGAGAGTAAGGTTCAAACAATGCTCCCCCCCCTTTCCCTCTGCTGTAATAGGATTTTGTGTCTTTTCCTGTAATGTAATTTACCCTTGTCTGCCTCCTCCTTTCTCAGTACATTTTCTAAGATCAGATTGATCCACTTATTTGGATCCATTTAACCCACTTGATTAGATTTTTTTTTATCATTACATCAAAGTCAACTAATATCCACCCTCTTTATGTATACTCCTTTAACATGGTGTACTAACAATACAGTTCTCAAGGGTTGCAAGTATCATATTCCCCTGTAGGGGTTTAAACAACCCCTCCCCTTATTAACAACATATTATATCTTCTGTCCCATTTACCTTTTTATGTCCTTCTTGAGTCCTGTACTTGAAGATCAAATTTTTTGTTGAGCTCTGGTCTTTTTATCAGGAAAGTTTGGAAGTCTCCTATTTCGTTGAATATCCACCTCTCCCTTGAAAAATGATGCTATTTTTGCTGGGTAATTGATCCTTGGCTGCATTCAAGTCCTTTGCCTTACGGATATCATGTTCCACACCCGGTCTTTTAATGTAGAAGCTGCAAGGTCCTGTGTAATCCTGACTGTGGTTCCATGATATTTAAATTGTTTCTTTCTGGCTGCTTGCAGCACCTTCTCTTTCATCTGGTAATTTTGGAATTTTGCTATTATATTCCTTGGTGTTGTCAATTTGGGATCTTTCAGGTGGTGATTGGTGGGTTCTTTCTATGGTTATTTTCCCTTCTGGTTCTAGGACTTCAGGCAGTTTTCCTTTATGATTTCCTGAAAGATACTGTCCAGGCTCTTTTTTTCATCATGATTTTCAGGTAGTCCAATAATTTTTAAATTGTCTCTCCTGATCGTTTTCCAGGTCGGTTGTTTTACTTGAGGTATTTTATTTTCATCTATTTTTTCATTTTTTTGTTTCTGTTTGACTGATTCTTGCTCTCTCATAGAGACATTAGTTTCCATTTGTCCAATTCTAGTTTTTAACAGATTGTTTTCTTCTGTTAGTTTTTGTACTTCCTTCTTCAATTGGCCAATTGTGTTTTTTATGGACTTGTTTTCTTCAGTGTACTCTTCTGTTAGTTTTTGTCCTTCCTTCTTCAATTGGCCAATTGTGTTTTTTAGGGACTTGTTTTCTTCAGTGTATTTTTTTTCCAATTGGCCAATTGTATTTTTGAAGGACTCTTTTACCTCTCTCATTTGACTATTAAAATCCTTCTTGAGCTCTTCTAAGAAGGCTTTTTGGGCTTCAGACCAGTTCATATTCCCTTTTGTTGTTGCAGATGTGGGTTTGTTGACAATGTTGTCCTCTTCAGAATTTCTGTCTTGATCTTCACTCTTCTCATAATATGAATCTATGGTACGTTTCTTTTTACTCATGGTGTTTCTTTATTCCCTGGCCTTTAAAGAGATTGAGCTCTCCTGCTGGGGAACAGAGGGTACTGACCCAAGCTTCTTATGTTGGGAGCCTAGGTCTTGGTCACTGGCTTTGCATTCTGGGGCCTCTTATGCTGGGAATTGGAGGCTGTAAGTTTCTGGCAGCTTACATTGTGTTGGGCTAGAATCAGCAAGGCTGGAATTTTCAGGCAATTCTAGATTACCTGCTCTTCCTTTCCTTTAGCTTTCTTCAGCTCCTTTTAGATGGGTGCTGCAGGGTGTTTATCTGCCTGGGGCCCTCTGCAGAGTTGTCTCCCTCGTTTCTGCTAATGCGCTGGGAGATTCCTTTGTGGTAGAGTGCCAAGCTGGTTTCCACCGGTCTCCACTGCCCTCACTGAGGCACTTGGAGGTCCAGCTGGTGGTGTTTGCCTGTTCTGCCACCTGGGCTTCAGGATTTCTTCACAATTGGAGGCTGTAGGGCTCAGACAGCTCACCTGGTGTTGGGCTGGAACCAGCAAGGCT